TAACACATTTTCAAAAACATCTAATCTATACAAATTTTTTTTTAAAAAAAGTATCTTCTTCCACCCACCATACATCAACACCGCCCATCCCCTCCTCTACTTCCATCGCTGCCCCTCCCTTTTTTTTTCTTTTCTTTCCTCTTCCTCCTTCCTCCTTCTTCTCCATCTTTCTCCTCCTTTCTTCCCCTATCTTCCCTTTCCATGCAATCAGAAATCCGCTATTTGATTGCAGCCAGAAGATTGGCGACCAAACAAATTGCGACTTCTGGCCGTGACTGGAAGGAGGAGGCTGAAGGGGTGGGGTGAGAGAGGGGCCAAGAGGAAGAGAAAGAAAGGAGGAGGGGAAAAAGAGGGAGAGGGTGTGGTAGGTGGTGATGGCTGGTGGTAGTGGTGGCTGGTATTATTTTTAAATTTTGAAAATACTCCAAAAAAGTTTAAAAATTTAAAAATATCCCAAAAATACTTCCAAAACCATCTTAAAAAATGTCTATAATAAAAGTTTTTCAATTGCAATTGTTACAATAAAATTTTTAAAAAGTACATCAAAAAAACACCTAAATCACACGGAACCATAGTAATTAACTCAAAATGCTAGGGGAAAATTCCCCATACGCGTTACACCAACCTCGCCTATGTACCAAAGTTGTTACGGATTGTTTTTCCAAAGAAACAATTGTTACCATTAAACTGATATGTGTAAAGCACTCCACGTTGACGCGATGCTTTAACTTCATTACTTTTATCTAATTTGGCTTCAATTTCAAGAGCAGTTTGGACGACTTGATACGTCTCCAATTGAAATGGCAATTTGGGATAGGAGAGCGGTAGTTACCTGACACTTGAAATAGTTAACAGTTTCTGCTAGAAAGATAAATTCAGAACAGCACTAATGCTTCTAGGTTCTAGAATATCAAGATTTCATTCCAATAGGTGCGTGTATAAAAATTTTCAGTTTCGATCTTTAACATCAAAAACACCAGTTTAATGGGATTTTTTTTTAAAAAAATAACAATAAATGATCATTTACTTCCGATATTTGTGGCTTTGGCATTATGGGTTATCTTTCGTAGATACGATAAGATTGTGGAGTTATAGAGAGGGGTAAGTAAAACAAAATTAAGCTCATCTTTGGGGTGAAATGGAAACATTCATATATTTTGAGGCTTGAATGGCAAAATTCAATATTTGAAAGGTCATAGTCATTAATCCACTCAACTTTCCTGAAAATTCAAAAAAAAAAAAAAACACTAAACGAATAAAAAAGTACCGTGTGGTACTAAACTACTAATCTCTTTGTTTTATAAATTGGTCCAACAAAAAGTAATTTTTTTACAGAATTAAGAATCTATAGTGAAGGCTAAGAAAATGTAACTGCTATTTGATTGACAATGGTAAGGTGGTTCCCGGATCCCTTTTCTGCTCCTGTGGTAAGGTGTTCTGGCACGAGGTACAACTATTACACTTACACCACGCGTCTCACGGGCCGCTAGATTCCGCCAACGGAGGCGGCAAGTATAACCACTTTAATTATTTCAAACCAAACAAATCCTTTGTAAAAGAAGATGAAGACTGGTGGGAGAAGCAAAGAAAAGGATCCCCCGACAAAGCAAAATGGATAACAGTTGAATGGGAGTTTTTTTAGGACTATTTTACAGCATAATTATTGGAATTTAATCCATTTGTCACTTACATATGGAGTGACGTTTGCGGGTTTCGAAATCTAGATTACACATTCAATCGAAAGTTAAATGATTGTCTTGTCAAAAAAAAAAAACACAAAAGTTTTTGGTTCCTTTTTTTTTTTTTGAGTTGAATGTATTCTTTTTTTTTTTTCCCTTTTCCGCACAAACAATCTTATAACGCTAGCTCTGTACTTAAATTGCACTGGCGAAGAGAGTATTCAAACCTCGACTTAAAGAAGGAAAAAGTTGGATTGAATGGTACGACGAGAGAAGTTTTAAATTTACTTGAGTGAAAAAAAAAATCGATTTGAAGATCTTGCAACTTGATTTACGTATTTGATGAAACTTACGATGAATAGAATGAAGCCTTGATATGCCATGTGTGTTGTCCCTTGGCAAGGGCACAGCAAAGATGGCCATCCTCACTTCTGACCTTCAATTTATGAATGATCATCTCAATGTTGAGGCTTTCAAGAAACCGTTAAAGCTGGGGCAGGATTTAGGAGCTTGAAGGAAAAGAAAGAAAAAGACAGAGACACATCCATGATCTTTGCTCAATATCTAGAGCGGTGCACCTCAAACTTGAGGTAGCAGACCACTCTTGAGTTGAATCAACTTGACTGGCCATCCAGCACGAGTAGGGCCATTCACAATCTTACAAACAACATAGTACAGGGACCAGATTGAACGATGCGCTGTGGAACCAACCGGGAGAAGAAGATATGAATCGGTAAGCTGGCATAGGCCAAATCCCTTTCCACGACTTCGAAACGTGCGCGTTGCGTGTAGCAACCACCTTGTCCTTAAATTTTTTCTTCTTCTTCTTCTTCTTTATTTATTTATTTATTTCTTTTGTCAAAAGTCATGTTCACACACACACACCACTTTACCAAATAATCTTCATTTTCTCCCTAGCTATGTCCCTCTATCAAATTTTTTTCTATTCTGAATTGGTTCATTTGATTCTTTAGTGAGTGTGATTGAAATTTTAATGAGATAAAATGCATACTCTAGACTTTATATCCCTATTGAAACGGGTAAGGGCAAAAGTTGTTTTTAAACAGTATAACATCTTAACAATAACTTGTAAAATACGGTTAATTATTTGTAAGATATAGTAACAGATACGCAATTGTATACGCAATTGTTATATATGAAATTCATATGAACAGTGGTGGAATATCACTTAGTTATTGTAAAATTATACAGGTAGTCAATATTATCTTACAATTTATTCAAATAGTATTACACCGCTGATCACTCCATAATGTAGGTCATTTCATGTCACGTAAGCTGAGGATCCTTCATTAATTGAGAAATAGAAAGGTAGTATATGAATGGAAGGCAAGCAAGTAATGCATCACATAAATCAACAAATCAAAACCTTGAACTTCAATTACACCTATCTTAGACAAAGTACACTTGAAATACAAGAAATAAGAAGTGAGCTGGATCATCTAAGCAGAAGCTAAGAAAAAAGAGTAGCTTAGTTTGTCCTATTTTCCAAGATTAAACCAAAAAAGGGCAGCTTAGGCGGATGGCCTAGAGCCTATCAATTATGTCGAATTGGTTCCCACTATCACGAAAGATTTGAAATACGAGTAGTGTTAGCTGATTATTAGACGAACAGGTAAAAGAGATATTAATGACATCCCCTATGCATCAAATAAACAGACGAGTTTAGGACGGCTTAGCATTGTCTTTAGTAGGTAAGGTGGTACCTTTAGGGTTAAAAAAAAACCAGCTGTTACTTGGACTAAGTTTTGCTAGTAGAAGCATCATCCTCCTAGTGGAGGTTTTAGGGCTTTGGGCTGCCCTATTCACGAGTGTACAGAACTAGTTATTGATTTTGATAGTAAACTTAGAATTTATCTGTTTAGATTGCTATTTTTACTTTTAGGAGTTTTTATTGAAAAATATATTGTAACGATTTAATGTATGTGAGATCGATTGAAAAAATGTGTTCCTGAAAAACATAAAATTTTTTTTATGAATTGATGCATGAAAGTTTGATTAAATGGGATGAACCAATTCAGGATACAGATCGATTTGTGAAAGTTTATAATCCTAATTATTAGTTCATGCGCCATTGTGTCCCTATCTGATTTTGTATTCTTTTTATTATTTCAAATGGATCAAAGCCATACACTGACTTTATGCTAATAAGATTTAAGGGTCATCTCCTAGACACACACACCAACCAAAAAAAAAATAAAAATAAAAATAAAAATCATATGGAGCAAACCAAGGGGTTCGGCAGCGAAGCTGAAAATTGGTTGGCCCACTCCACCCACTCCCCAGCCCATTGGACCACAAAAGCAATTAATAGTCTCAAAAGTTAGAAGGCGGCCCTTTAAACTGTCGTATTTGTTAGGTGACAAATATTGGAAATACAACAGCCTGTACAAGTCGTGAAATTTTCCATTGGGCCATATCGGACAGCTCAGTTTAATGCAGAATGTGGCCATTTTGTCGCCGAGGCATTTTGATTTTTCTGCAGATATTTGGTTTCTATCAACACATGGGGATGGCAATGGAGTGAATTTCAACCTACAAAATCCATACCATAATCAAGCAATTCAAGAACAAACAAAAAACTAAAATGTAAAAAATAAAAAAAAATTTAATCAGTCAGAAATATAGAAAAGAAAAAAAAAATTTGTTCGAGGTTGATTGTAGGTGTCAAATGGGAATTATTTCAATTGAACTGCTACATTATTGGTTGGATGTTTGTTTTGGCATACTGAACAAGATCATTATATGCAGGCAATTTTTTTTTTTTTCCAATTAATTGTACATGATTATATTTTAACGTAATAAGAATGGTTGAAAATAGGTTCTTTATCCCAATTACTATAAAACCAGATTGAGATATATACAGCATCATTTTGGTCCTCTGTGTGTAAAATTTTAGGTATTGTGGCGCACTTTTAAGACCCAACGTTGAGTACGAAAAAAAGGAAAAGAAAACTTCTTTTAATGAACATCCATTTGGTATTTAACAGGAATACTAGAAAAAAGCATGAATTTTGATCATTCTCCTCAACATAAGAAGTTACGTGATGTCATGAATTTTTAACATATTGACAAAGTAGACTAACTCTGTGATTTTCTGAGAATGCTAATGAATATATTATCACTAATTTCTTACGTAATTCACGGGAGAAAATATACTTCTCATTGCAAATTAAGCACGTTAGAAATCTAAATGATCATTCCTTTCAGCCATTATTTTGTTTTCCTTTTGCTGTGATCCGTTGAACTGCCGGATAGTAGCGTTGATGATGCATCGTCAAAAATTATAGGGTATGTATAGTTTTCCTCAGTAACAGGATCACCACAATTCAGGATTCAAAACGCACGCATTCGAAACAATACGGACGCCCATTTGATAACAATTTTACGTGCTTGAATACAAATAAATTTGATAGCAAAAAGACTAAATTCTAGAAGGGAGTAGTTGTTCTTATCAAACCAGGCCAAGTCATCATAGCTGACTACCAGATATTGTTACTTGTTCTTGCTGCATAATAACCTGAGCTTCTCTACTGCTTCTAGCAATTCTCCTTCACCTTCTTCTCTCAACTTTTTAATCAATTCTCTACCTTTTTCTCTCTGTAGTTCTCCCTCTTTCTTCTCAACGACCACCTTATTTATGACTTTAGTAACCTCGTCCCTCTATAGATCAAGTGTTTAAGCCCTACCTATAGTGAAAAAAAATCTAAAAGAGAAGCCAAACCACCATTTTGTGTTAGCTCCTTATACAGTCTTTTTAGACTCCTCCTCCCTCTCCCCTAAAATAGGATAGATTAGGTTATATAAATATTATGTTACAGGCATACATCCCAATCTAAAGAACCAACAAAGCCTTAGGATTCCCAACCATTCAATCATCCATGGAGGGAACAATGAGTGAATCTAGTGCTCCTAGATTTAGAGTTTTGATGTTCCCATGGCTAGCTCATGGCCACATCTCTCCCTACTTAGAGCTATCCAAGAGACTCTCCGAAAACAACTTCCACATATGCTTTTGTTCTACAGAGATCAACCTGAATTTCATCAAGAAAAGTAAAACCTTTGATGAGATTTCATCAATAGAACTAGTACAACTTGATTTGCCAGATCTGCCTGAACTCCCTCCCCAGCATCACACCACAAGAAACCTCCCACTCCATCTCAAATCAACCCTCGAGCGTGCATTTTATATGGGAAAAGCAAACTTCCAAAACATCCTGAGCACTTTGAAACCCGATTTGCTAATCTATGATGCTCCCCAGTCATGGATATCGGAGCTGGCAGCACTGAATCATATCCCTTCTGTTCTTTTCATAATAGTTGCTGCAGTAAACTTGTCTTTTTTTTATCATGCCGTTAACTGTGGAATCGATGGTACTAATGAGGCTTACCCTTTTCCAGCAATTTATTACAGGGATTATGAAACGAAGAAAATGATAGCTATGTCCCAGGAATCCAAAGAAAGTTTACCCGAAGATGCTGCTTTTTCTCCCAAGTGTTTTGAACTATCTTCTTTTGTTTTGGTGAAAAGCTGGAGGGAAATTGAGGGGAAATATATAGATCACTTTTCTTTCTCCTGTGGCAAGAAGGTGTTAGCTTTAAATCTTCTTAATGTTCAAGATGATGATACCAAGGAGGAGGAGAATAATTCCCATATCATGAAGTTTCTGAATGGTAAAGATGAATCATCAGTGATTTATCTTTCTTTTGGGAGCGAATACTACTTGTCGAAGGAAGAAAGGGAAGAGATAGCACATGGGTTGGAGCTGAGCAATGCTAACTTCATATGGGTACTTAGGTTTCCTGTGGGAGATTCTATTGCCCTAGAAGAAGCTTTACCCGAAGGGTTTCTGGAGAGGGTGAAAGAGAGAGGGATAGTGGTGGATGGATGGGCACCACAGGCTAAAATTCTTGAGCATCCAAGTACTGGTGGTTTCTTGAGTCATTGTGGATGGGGTTCTGTGACAGAAAGCATGTATTTTGGGGTTCCATTGTTAGCTTTGCCCATGTTCTATGACCAGTTTCTTCAAGCTAGACTTGCAGAAGATATTGGTGTCGGTATTGAGATTTTGAGAGGTGAAAACGGGCAGACAAATAGGGAAGAGGTTGCTAAAGCCATAAAAATGGTTGCTTTGGAGAATGAAGTGGGAGAATTATTGAGAGAAAAAGCTAGAGAGTTGAGTAACCAGATGAGAGGAGGAGGAGAAGGAGTGTTGCATGAAGCAATAAAGAAGCTAAAGGATTTATGCAGCAAGAACAAGTAGCAGAACTGCTGAATCTGAGATGGATAGATATGATAGAAAATGTTTGAGACAGATATTCAATGATTAACCTTCCATATGCTGATAGTATAAGCCAAGGATTATCATTACAGCATTTTTTTTCCCTAAAAACTCCGTACCGATTGCTGTGGAGCTAAACTGCAGTTGTAATATGTATTCATTTCGATTGATGCCATCGGCGTTACTGATACAGGTTGTTACAGTGTGAAATTCGCAGAATTGATCCTACAAACATTATGGCAGATCAATAATCAAACCATCCCTAAATAATTAAGAAAAAATTTCTTAAATCCTGTAGATATTTGCCCCATTATATTTTAATGACTTGTGCTTAATTGCTGAACTTTTGGGTAGGGCAGTTTCAGATCAACGATCTCACAATCCCTTTGTAATATGGGTGGTAATATAAACCCTGCACTCTCAAACTCCCCTATGAAAAAGCTCAGCCATAATGCACAAGGCATTAAAATATATATTGGGCCAAACATATGTTAATCTAAGATTTTTTTTTTCTTTTTAAACACATTTAGTAATTGCGTTTTTTCATTAAAACCCTGGATGGGGCTAGGATCGAACAAAACTTATTCTTGGGAGATAATTGTTTTGCCAATTGTCGGACTAATGTTGCTATTTTGACAGTTGTGGAGCCGCCTGGTTACTGCCTCGGCTCCTCATGCAATTACCTCTGTTTTAAAACTCGGACCAGACCGGCCGATCGAACCGGGAACCGGCCAAGTAGCCGGTTCGAGTCATATTAAAAAACTGAAAATTTAAAACCCTGTCAAAGCCGGTCAAAAACCGGGTTTGACCGGGAAAAAATCGGTTTTTCCGGTTCAACAGTAATTTTTTTTTTAAAATTCAAACTTTTTAATATTATGTTTTGACCCCCTAAATTGTTAAAACTTATTGATATACCTCAAATATTTGATACTTTATAAATATTGTCCTAAAATTTGATGGTATTTTTCAATTAAATTCATAATTTTAATTCTAAACTTGTTAATATTTATTAAATAATATAAATTGCTACTTGATTGTTTTAATTTCCTTGTATTTTCTTGTTAAATATATTTAAAACATCAAATATATATGAATATACCTTTATTAATATCAATATATTATTAGATATTATATATATAATATTTTAATTTTTAAATAATTTTTATTTATGACATCATCCGATTCGATCCCTATCGACCCCCGGTCGAACCCATTGACCCCTGACCCCTGATCTCGGCCGAATCGCTATCCGGTCCGGTTCTGAAAACATAGGCAATTACCAAAAGCCTCAGATGTGGTCAACCCAACCCAATCGTTCTCGTGGGCACGTGACTCACGCCCACCTCTGACACTGGATCTGACATGTGCCAGATACTACATGCCACAAGTCTATGATTCTTTGTGACCGACACATTATCCTCGATTTTCGAAATTCATACTACATTTAGGGCATAAATGCGCAACGGATCTTCTGTCCCACATCCTGTGCCACTTTCTGTCTCACTTTTTATTATATTGCTATTTCTCCTATATAAACATCATGTTTTAATTCTTTTTTATTTTCTTAAAATTCAATAACTATTAATTGAGTAATACACAAAATTTAACAAACTCAAAAAATCAAAATGCATAAAAAATGAAATCTTTTATGAATTTTCTGCTGTATTTTTAAATTTTTTATTATATATTACTTTTTTGAAGTTGTTGTATTTATGCTTTAATTAATTAATATTTATTGAATCTTAAGGAAACAAAAAAGAATTAAAACATGATATTTATATATGAGAAATAACAATATAATAAAAAGTGGGACACAGAGTGGCACAGGATGTGGGACAGAAGATCCGTTGCGGCATAAATGTCCCTCCACCTCATGCTCTTTCTTTCTTTTTTTTTCTTTTTTTTTTCCGACACATGGAGATCCATCCTGACTTGCGTCAACCCGCTCCAAAGATGCATCACTCCATAACTAATGAGAGTCGAAACGGTGATCTTTGAATAAGGATCCAATGAGGCACATCCCATGAGGTCTCGGATGATATTTGGTGCAAGTGAAAGGTACTTGCATCCTTTAACCATGAAATCTCTGGTTCGAAACTCATGTGAATGATAAAAATAATGTTGGGGGAGCTTTTTCTTACAAAGGACCCGATCCAACTCGAACAAGATTAATCGCAAACCATAAAACGAATGCGGACACCTATAACTAAAAAAAGGAGGTACATCCCCCTCATATTCAAAGCTAGAGCACATAAATGCGCCCCCCCCCCAAAAAAAAACAAAGGGAGAGGGGCAGGGACGGTTACCGTCCCTGTCAGTTAATGGCCAAGATTTGGCCAACAAAATTTGTAAGGTCCAGATTTTAATATGTATGGGACCCACAAAATATTGTACTAGTGTTACTCGTTGTTGTTCTAGTGTTACATTGTGTACAAATGATGTTACACCGTGTGCAAAATGCACACAAGCTTCCGGAATAGTTGCCAGCCCCGGGTCCCAAAACAACAGTCAAAGGTGACTTCTACTCATCGGTTTATGTGCTTTCCTTCAACACCTGAACTTCTAGTTTGACTTGGACATCGGAGTCGTCTCGAACGATTTAGCCCGACTATGTGCCTTCTTTCGTTGTGCTGTTTTTGCAAGTCTCTGGCTAGGCTCGACAAGCTCGGTCCATCTATTCGTGCCCACAGAACTAGGGCTGCAAACGAGCCGAGTCGAGTCGAGTCGAGCTTTGAGCTAATCGAGCCGAGCCTCGACTAAATTTTACCAAGCTCGAGCTCGACGAGCCGGCAATTTTCAAGCTCGAGCTCGACTCGAATCAAGTCGAGCCGAGCTCGAGTCGAGCTTGAAAAAAATAAAAAATAATTATTTTATTTTTTAAAAAATAAATAAAATAATATTTTTTTCTTAATAAATAATAAAATATTAAGGATATATACGTAATTTTACTATGAAAATAAAAAATAAAAAATATATATACGTAATTTTACTATGAAAATAAAAAATAAAAAATATATATACGTAATTTTACTATGAAAATAAAAAATAAAAAATATATATATAATATACGTAATTTTATTATTAAATAAAACTAAAAAATATATATATATATATATACTCAAGCTCGCGAGCCGGTTCGCGAGCTAACGAGCTTAATATTCTGAGCTCGAGTTTGACTCGAGCCGGCTCGAACTCGATTAATATCGAGCTCGACTCGAGCTTGACTCGAGCAGCTCGCGAGCGGCTCGATTCGTTTGCAGCCCTACACATAACCATATAACAACCTTCATCGCCATCTTCCAATAAAATTTAAAATGCTTTATTTTGACTACTGTGGCAAGATTTAAAGACCGTCTATGTAAACTAAAAGCTTTAATCCATCAAGTTACAAGTATCAAAAACAATAGAGAATTCGCAAGCTATATATTACTCTCAAGTCAGTCAAACTTCTTTTGGGCTGAATCTCGAGTTATTACTAGAGAATTCGTAGTCCTTCCTGTTGTTCACCCTTCTACGTTTACTAAAACTATGTGTTGGGGGGGAGAAATATTGGAAAAAGTTCCACCTCCCATCGTCCCAAAATAACGCAGTATGTTTACATTCGTGGGTTTGAGCCACTGGAATTTGACTCAGAAAATCAAATTTGGAAATCTGGATTGCAAAGAAAGTTCCAACGACAAAAGTAGGAAGTTGGCCCATTATTTGCATTGTTAAAAATTGAGATTGAAGAACCTCCTATTTCTAGTGCAAATAGTTTATTGGGTCATTTCTTATGTCGCATCACAGGTCGTAGGTTTCGCTTCTGGGTGAAAAATGCTCGTTTAAAAGCGAGCTGTCGCATGATATCTTGTTTTCTTCCACAAATATTTCCTTTTCATACACATCCGTAGGTTGTGAATTGTTTGGGTTCATTTTCCGTCAAAGAAGAAAAATTCATGGACCTTATGCTTTGGCAAATTTGTCACGATCAAATTTTTTCATAAAAAGAAAGTGATGTATCGATCGATTAAACACGAGTGTGCATAATTTTCCTTTATGTTGCATGGCACGTTTCAATTTTTTTTTTTTTGGGCCACCATACATATCAATGATTAGTAAATGTGATTGTACATAGATGAGGTGTTTCAAATCTCCACAATTCAGGATTTAACATTTTCATACTAAACAATTTAAGAAGAACCTGTACGTCTTTTATGGGGAAAATGACCAAAATAGTACTTCACATTCTTAAAAAAAAAAAAAAAAAAAAAAAAATCCTTTTTTGGGTCTTTCATATATTAAAAAATTTAAAATAGTCTTACATGTAACAAGTACGCCAATTTAGTCCCATAACCTATTTTTGACTATAGATCTAAAGGAGGTGTTTGTTTATACGGGTATCGTAATGGGACAGAATGAATATCAAAATTAAACGTATTCGTACTTTGTTTATATGTTTGATAATCCTCAACATGAATTCCCTGCTATTGCTGTTGATGAATGATTCCTGGTTCCCCTTTCCGGTGTTCTGGCACGAGGTACAACTATTACACTTACACCACGCGTCTCACGGGCCGCTAGATTCCGCCAACGGAGGCGGCAAGTATAACCACTTTAATTATTTCAAACCAAACAAATCCTTTGTAAAAGAAGATGAAGACTGGTGGGAGAAGCAAAGAAAAGGATCCCCCGACAAAGCAAAATGGATAACAGTTGAATGGGAGTTTTTTTAGGACTATTTTACAGCATAATTATTGGAATTTAATCCATTTGTCACTTACATATGGAGTGACGTTTGCGGGTTTCGAAATCTAGATTACACATTCAATCGAAAGTTAAATGATTGTCTTGTCAAAAAAAAAAAACACAAAAGTTTTTGGTTCCTTTTTTTTTTTTCGAGTTGAATGTATTCTTTTTTTTTTTTCCTTTTCCGCACAAACAATCTTATAACGCTAGCTCTGTACTTAAATTGCACTGGCGAAGAGAGTATTCAAACCTCGACTTAAAGAAGGAAAAAGTTGGATTGAATGGTACGACGAGAGAAGTTTTAAATTTACTTGAGTGAAAAAAAAAATCGATTTGAAGATCTGGCAACTTGATTTACGTATTTGATGAAACTTACGATGAATAGAATGAAGCCTTGATATGCCATGTGTGTTGTCCCTTGGCAAGGGCACAGCAAAGATGGCCATCCTCACTTCTGACCTTCAATTTATGAATGATCATCTCAATGTTGAGGCTTTCAAGAAACCGTTAAAGCTGGGGCAAGATTTAGGAGCTTGAAGTAAAAGAAAGAAAAAGACAGAGACACATCCATGATCTTTGCTCAATATCTAGAGCGGTGCACCTCAAACATGAGGTAGCATACCACTCTTTGGGTTGAATCAACTTGACTGGCCATCCAGCAGGAGTAGGGCCATTCACAGTCTTACAAACAACATAGTACAGGGACCAGATTGAATGATGCGCTGTGGAACCAACCAGGAGAAGATATGAATCGGTAAGCTGGCATAGGCCCAACCTCTTTCCACGAATTCGAAACGTGCACGTTGCATGTAGCAAACACCTGCTTGTCTTTAACTTTCTTCTTTCTTCTTCTTCTTCTTCTCTATTTATTTATTTCTTTTGTCAAAAGTCATGTTCATACATACATACACACACCACTTTACCAAATAATCTTCATTTTCTCCCTAGCTAACTCCCTCTATCAAATTTTTGAATTGGTTCATTTGATTCTCTAGTGAGTGTGATTTGAAATTTTAATGAGATAAAAGCTGTTATTAAGCAGTGTAACATCTTAACAATAAATTGTAATAAAACACGATTAATTATTTGTAAGATATCGTAATAGTTATTACGCAATTGTTATGTATGAAATTCATATGAACAGTGATGAAATATCACTTAGTTATTGTAAAGTTAAACAGGTAGTCAATAGTATCTTACAATTTATTCAAATAGCATTATATCGTTCAAAAACAATTATATTGACAACCATTTTTATACTTTTACCCGATTGAAACAGATACGTCCGTTTAAAAATCCTTTTTTTTTTTCTTACGCAGAGTTCTACAAACTGTTCCCCAGTTCATTTCTCTGAATCAATTATACAGTCTGCGAAGTCCATTATTTTTTTTTTTTCTGAAACGTTAGTAGACTTTCATAGATCTAGTAAAAGAGTTTACATGTCGAGCAACGGCTCGTTAAGCTGTACAACTTGTGTTCAAAAACACAGAGGAAGTGATGCTTCCTCATCCAATAAAATGCCTAAGGCATATAAGCTAGCATTAGCACTAGCAGAACTATCATCATTCTTATCTAAACAAAAAGAGCACATTCGAAACAATGGCTTTAAACAAAATATGTCCTCTAAGATCATTGTTAACCTGCCATCCAACGCTTTCCCAAGCAATATTTGTCTCAGCACGCGAAGTCCATTATAGCACCTGATCAAACCTGATCTTTGACCACATTATTGCAATCACTCCAATTACTAAGTGATAATATGTGTTCTAACCTCGGTGGTGCAAAGGTCCCCTTCCCACTCATGCACCTTTCTGTTCTGTTCTTCCGCAACAATCGCTGGGTGCTCTTCAACCATACGCAGATCACTCCTTAATTTAGGTAATTTCATGTCACGTAAGCAAGTTTGCTGAGGATCCTTCAGTAATTGAGAAATAGAAAGGTAGTATATGAATGGAAGGCAAGCAAGTAATGCACCGCATAAATCAACCGATCAAACCCTTGAACTTCAATTACACCTATCTTAGATAGAGTACACTTCAAATACAAGAAGTACGAAGTGAGCTGGATCATCTAAGCAGAAGCTAAGAAAAGAGAGTAGCTGGACGGACCAACTAGTTAGTTTGTCCTATTTTCCAAGATTAAACCAAAAAAGGGCAGCTTAGGCGGATGGCCTAGAGCCTATCAATTATGTCGAATTGGTTCCCACTATCACGAAAGATTTGAAATACGAGTAGTGTTAGCTGATTATTAGACGAACAGGTAAAAGAGATATTAATGACATCCCCTATGCATCAAATAAACAGACGAGTTTAGGACGGCTTAGCATTGTCTTTAGTAGGTAAGGTGGTACCTTTAGGGTTAAAAAAAAACCAGCTGTTACTTGGACTAAGTTTTGCTAGTAGAAGCATCATCCTCCTAGTGGAGGTTTTAGGGCTTTGGGCTGCCCTATTCACGAGTGTACAGAACTAGTTATTGATTTTGATAGTAAACTTAGAATTTATCTGTTTAGATTGCTATTTTTACTTTTAGGAGTTTTTATTGAAAAATATATTGTAACGATTTAATGTATGTGAGATCGATTGAAAAAATGTGTTCCTGAAAAACATAAAATTTTTTTTATGAATTGATGCATGAAAGTTTGATTAAATGGGATGAACCAATTCAGGATACAGATCGATTTGTGAAAGTTTATAATCCTAATTATTAGTTCATGCGCCATTGTGTCCCTATCTGATTTTGTATTCTTTTTATTATTTCAAATGGATCAAAGCCATACACTGACTTTATGCTAATAAGATTTAAGGGTCATCTCCTAGACACACACACCAACCAAAAAAAAAATAAAAATAAAAATAAAAATCATATGGAGCAAACCAAGGGGTTCGGCAGCGAAGCTGAAAATTGGTTGGCCCACTCCACCCACTCCCCAGCCCATTGGACCACAAAAGCAATTAATAGTCTCAAAAGTTAGAAGGCGGCCCTTTAAACTGTCGTATTTGTTAGGTGACAAATATTGGAAATACAACAGCCTGTACAAGTCGTGAAATTTTCCATTGGGCCATATCGGACAGCTCAGTTTAATGCAGAATGTGGCCATTTTGTCGCCGAGGCATTTTGATTTTTCTGCAGATATTTGGTTTCTATCAACACATGGGGATGGCAATGGAGTGAATTTCAACCTACAAAATCCATACCATAATCAAGCAATTCAAGAACAAACAAAAAACTAAAATGTAAAAAATAAAAAAAAATTTAATCAGTCAGAAATATAGAAAAGAAAAAAAAAATTTGTTCGAGGTTGATTGTAGGTGTCAAATGGGAATTATTTCAATTGAACTGCTACATTATTGGTTGGATGTTTGTTTTGGCATACTGAACAAGATCATTATATGCAGGCAATTTTTTTTTTTTTCCAATTAATTGTACATGATTATATTTTAACGTAATAAGAATGGTTGAAAATAGGTTCTTTATCCCAATTACTATAAAACCAGATTGAGATATATACAGCATCATTTTGGTCCTCTGTGTGTAAAATTTTAGGTATTGTGGCGCACTTTTAAGACCCAACGTTGAGTACGAAAAAAAGGAAAAGAAAACTTCTTTTAATGAACATCCATTTGGTATTTAACAGGAATACTAGAAAAAAGCATGAATTTTGATCATTCTCCTCAACATAAGAAGTTACGTGATGTCATGAATTTTTAACATATTGACAAAGTAGACTAACTCTGTGATTTTCTGAGAATGCTAATGAATATATTATCACTAATTTCTTACGTAATTCACGGGAGAAAATATACTTCTCATTGCAAATTAAGCACGTTAGAAATCTAAATGATCATTCCTTTCAGCCATTATTTTGTTTTCCTTTTGCTGTGATCCGTTGAACTGCCGGATAGTAGCGTTGATGATGCATCGTCAAAAATTATAGGGTATGTATAGTTTTCCTCAGTAACAGGATCACCACAATTCAGGATTCAAAACGCACGCATTCGAAACAATACGGACGCCCATTTGATAACAATTTTACGTGCTTGAATACAAATAAATTTGATAGCAAAAAGACTAAATTCTAGAAGGGAGTAGTTGTTCTTATCAAACCAGGCCAAGTCATCATAGCTGACTACCAGATATTGTTACTTGTTCTTGCTGCATAATAACCTGAGCTTCTCTACTGCTTCTAGCAATTCTCCTTCACCTTCTTCTCTCAACTTTTTAATCAATTCTCTACCTTTTTCTCTCTGTAGTTCTCCCTCTTTCTTCTCAACGACCACCTTATTTATGACTTTAGTAACCTCGTCCCTCTATAGATCAAGTGTTTAAGCCCTACCTATAGTGAAAAAAAATCTAAAAGAGAAGCCAAACCACCATTTTGTGTTAGCTCCTTATACAGTCTTTTTAGACTCCTCCTCCCTCTCCCCTAAAATAGGATAGATTAGGTTATATAAATATTATGTTACAGGCATACATCCCAATCTAAAGAACCAACAAAGCCTTAGGATTCCCAACCATTCAATCATCCATGGAGGGAACAATGAGTGAATCTAGTGCTCCTAGATTTAGAGTTTTGATGTTCCCATGGCTAGCTCATGGCCACATCTCTCCCTACTTAGAGCTATCCAAGAGACTCTCCGAAAACAACTTCCACATATGCTTTTGTTCTACAGAGATCAACCTGAATTTCATCAAGAAAAGTAAAACCTTTGATGAGATTTCATCAATAGAACTAGTACAACTTGATTTGCCAGATCTGCCTGAACTCCCTCCCCAGCATCACACCACAAGAAACCTCCCACTCCATCTCAAATCAACCCTCGAGCGTGCATTTTATATGGGAAAAGCAAACTTCCAAAACATCCTGAGCACTTTGAAACCCGATTTGCTAATCTATGATGCTCCCCAGTCATGGATATCGGAGCTGGCAGCACTGAATCATATCCCTTCTGTTCTTTTCATAATAGTTGCTGCAGTAAACTTGTCTTTTTTTTATCATGCCGTTAACTGTGGAATCGATGGTACTAATGAGGCTTACCCTTTTCCAGCAATTTATTACAGGGATTATGAAACGAAGAAAATGATAGCTATGTCCCAGGAATCCAAAGAAAGTTTACCCGAAGATGCTGCTTTTTCTCCCAAGTGTTTTGAACTATCTTCTTTTGTTTTGGTGAAAAGCTGGAGGGAAATTGAGGGGAAATATATAGATCACTTTTCTTTCTCCTGTGGCAAGAAGGTGTTAGCTTTAAATCTTCTTAATGTTCAAGATGATGATACCAAGGAGGAGGAGAATAATTCCCATATCATGAAGTTTCTGAATGGTAAAGATGAATCATCAGTGATTTATCTTTCTTTTGGGAGCGAATACTACTTGTCGAAGGAAGAAAGGGAAGAGATAGCACATGGGTTGGAGCTGAGCAATGCTAACTTCATATGGGTACTTAGGTTTCCTGTGGGAGATTCTATTGCCCTAGAAGAAGCTTTACCCGAAGGGTTTCTGGAGAGGGTGAAAGAGAGAGGGATAGTGGTGGATGGATGGGCACCACAGGCTAAAATTCTTGAGCATCCAAGTACTGGTGGTTTCTTGAGTCATTGTGGATGGGGTTCTGTGACAGAAAGCATGTATTTTGGGGTTCCATTGTTAGCTTTGCCCATGTTCTATGACCAGTTTCTTCAAGCTAGACTTGCAGAAGATATTGGTGTCGGTATTGAGATTTTGAGAGGTGAAAACGGGCAGACAAATAGGGAAGAGGTTGCTAAAGCCATAAAAATGGTTGCTTTGGAGAATGAAGTGGGAGAATTATTGAGAGAAAAAGCTAGAGAGTTGAGTAACCAGATGAGAGGAGGAGGAGAAGGAGTGTTGCATGAAGCAATAAAGAAGCTAAAGGATTTATGCAGCAAGAACAAGTAGCAGAACTGCTGAATCTGAGATGGATAGATATGATAGAAAATGTTTGAGACAGATATTCAATGATTAACCTTCCATATGCTGATAGTATAAGCCAAGGATTATCATTACAGCATTTTTTTTCCCTAAAAACTCCGTACCGATTGCTGTGGAGCTAAACTGCAGTTGTAATATGTATTCATTTCGATTGATGCCATCGGCGTTACTGATACAGGTTGTTACAGTGTGAAATTCGCAGAATTGATCCTACAAACATTATGGCAGATCAATAATCAAACCATCCCTAAATAATTAAGAAAAAATTTCTTAAATCCTGTAGATATTTGCCCCATTATATTTTAATGACTTGTGCTTAATTGCTGAACTTTTGGGTAGGGCAGTTTCAGATCAACGATCTCACAATCCCTTTGTAATATGGGTGGTAATATAAACCCTGCACTCTCAAACTCCCCTATGAAAAAGCTCAGCCATAATGCACAAGGCATTAAAATATATATTGGGCCAAACATATGTTAATCTAAGATTTTTTTTTTCTTTTTAAACACATTTAGTAATTGCGTTTTTTCATTAAAACCCTGGATGGGGCTAGGATCGAACAAAACTTATTCTTGGGAGATAATTGTTTTGCCAATTGTCGGACTAATGTTGCTATTTTGACAGTTGTGGAGCCGCCTGGTTACTGCCTCGGCTCCTCATGCAATTACCTCTGTTTTAAAACTCGGACCAGACCGGCCGATCGAACCGGGAACCGGCCAAGTAGCCGGTTCGAGTCATATTAAAAAACTGAAAATTTAAAACCCTGTCAAAGCCGGTCAAAAACCGGGTTTGACCGGGAAAAAATCGGTTTTTCCGGTTCAACAGTAATTTTTTTTTTAAAATTCAAACTTTTTAATATTATGTTTTGACCCCCTAAATTGTTAAAACTTATTGATATACCTCAAATATTTGATACTTTATAAATATTGTCCTAAAATTTGATGGTATTTTTCAATTAAATTCATAATTTTAATTCTAAACTTGTTAATATTTATTAAATAATATAAATTGCTACTTGATTGTTTTAATTTCCTTGTATTTTCTTGTTAAATATATTTAAAACATCAAATATATATGAATATACCTTTATTAATATCAATATATTATTAGATATTATATATATAATATTTTAATTTTTAAATAATTTTTATTTATGACATCATCCGATTCGATCCCTATCGACCCCCGGTCGAACCCATTGACCCCTGACCCCTGATCTCGGCCGAATCGCTATCCGGTCCGGTTCTGAAAACATAGGCAATTACCAAAAGCCTCAGATGTGGTCAACCCAACCCAATCGTTCTCGTGGGCACGTGACTCACGCCCACCTCTGACACTGGATCTGACATGTGCCAGATACTACATGCCACAAGTCTATGATTCTTTGTGACCGACACATTATCCTCGATTTTCGAAATTCATACTACATTTAGGGCATAAATGCGCAACGGATCTTCTGTCCCACATCCTGTGCCACTTTCTGTCTCACTTTTTATTATATTGCTATTTCTCCTATATAAACATCATGTTTTAATTCTTTTTTATTTTCTTAAAATTCAATAACTATTAATTGAGTAATACACAAAATTTAACAAACTCAAAAAATCAAAATGCATAAAAAATGAAATCTTTTATGAATTTTCTGCTGTATTTTTAAATTTTTTATTATATATTACTTTTTTGAAGTTGTTGTATTTATGCTTTAATTAATTAATATTTATTGAATCTTAAGGAAACAAAAAAGAATTAAAACATGATATTTATATATGAGAAATAACAATATAATAAAAAGTGGGACACAGAGTGGCACAGGATGTGGGACAGAAGATCCGTTGCGGCATAAATGTCCCTCCACCTCATGCTCTTTCTTTCTTTTTTTTTCTTTTTTTTTTCCGACACATGGAGATCCATCCTGACTTGCGTCAACCCGCTCCAAAGATGCATCACTCCATAACTAATGAGAGTCGAAACGGTGATCTTTGAATAAGGATCCAATGAGGCACATCCCATGAGGTCTCGGATGATATTTGGTGCAAGTGAAAGGTACTTGCATCCTTTAACCATGAAATCTCTGGTTCGAAACTCATGTGAATGATAAAAATAATGTTGGGGGAGCTTTTTCTTACAAAGGACCCGATCCAACTCGAACAAGATTAATCGCAAACCATAAAACGAATGCGGACACCTATAACTAAAAAAAGGAGGTACATCCCCCTCATATTCAAAGCTAGAGCACATAAATGCGCCCCCCCCCCAAAAAAAAACAAAGGGAGAGGGGCAGGGACGGTTACCGTCCCTGTCAGTTAATGGCCAAGATTTGGCCAACAAAATTTGTAAGGTCCAGATTTTAATATGTATGGGACCCACAAAATATTGTACTAGTGTTACTCGTTGTTGTTCTAGTGTTACATTGTGTACAAATGATGTTACACCGTGTGCAAAATGCACACAAGCTTCCGGAATAGTTGCCAGCCCCGGGTCCCAAAACAACAGTCAAAGGTGACTTCTACTCATCGGTTTATGTGCTTTCCTTCAACACCTGAACTTCTAGTTTGACTTGGACATCGGAGTCGTCTCGAACGATTTAGCCCGACTATGTGCCTTCTTTCGTTGTGCTGTTTTTGCAAGTCTCTGGCTAGGCTCGACAAGCTCGGTCCATCTATTCGTGCCCACAGAACTAGGGCTGCAAACGAGCCGAGTCGAGTCGAGTCGAGCTTTGAGCTAATCGAGCCGAGCCTCGACTAAATTTTACCAAGCTCGAGCTCGACGAGCCGGCAATTTTCAAGCTCGAGCTCGACTCGAATCAAGTCGAGCCGAGCTCGAGTCGAGCTTGAAAAAAATAAAAAATAATTATTTTATTTTTTAAAAAATAAATAAAATAATATTTTTTTCTTAATAAATAATAAAATATTAAGGATATATACGTAATTTTACTATGAAAATAAAAAATAAAAAATATATATACGTAATTTTACTATGAAAATAAAAAATAAAAAATATATATACGTAATTTTACTATGAAAATAAAAAATAAAAAATATATATATAATATACGTAATTTTATTATTAAATAAAACTAAAAAATATATATATATATATATACTCAAGCTCGCGAGCCGGTTCGCGAGCTAACGAGCTTAATATTCTGAGCTCGAGTTTGACTCGAGCCGGCTCGAACTCGATTAATATCGAGCTCGACTCGAGCTTGACTCGAGCAGCTCGCGAGCGGCTCGATTCGTTTGCAGCCCTACACATAACCATATAACAACCTTCATCGCCATCTTCCAATAAAATTTAAAATGCTTTATTTTGACTACTGTGGCAAGATTTAAAGACCGTCTATGTAAACTAAAAGCTTTAATCCATCAAGTTACAAGTATCAAAAACAATAGAGAATTCGCAAGCTATATATTACTCTCAAGTCAGTCAAACTTCTTTTGGGCTGAATCTCGAGTTATTACTAGAGAATTCGTAGTCCTTCCTGTTGTTCACCCTTCTACGTTTACTAAAACTATGTGTTGGGGGGGAGAAATATTGGAAAAAGTTCCACCTCCCATCGTCCCAAAATAACGCAGTATGTTTACATTCGTGGGTTTGAGCCACTGGAATTTGACTCAGAAAATCAAATTTGGAAATCTGGATTGCAAAGAAAGTTCCAACGACAAAAGTAGGAAGTTGGCCCATTATTTGCATTGTTAAAAATTGAGATTGAAGAACCTCCTATTTCTAGTGCAAATAGTTTATTGGGTCATTTCTTATGTCGCATCACAGGTCGTAGGTTTCGCTTCTGGGTGAAAAATGCTCGTTTAAAAGCGAGCTGTCGCATGATATCTTGTTTTCTTCCACAAATATTTCCTTTTCATACACATCCGTAGGTTGTGAATTGTTTGGGTTCATTTTCCGTCAAAGAAGAAAAATTCATGGACCTTATGCTTTGGCAAATTTGTCACGATCAAATTTTTTCATAAAAAGAAAGTGATGTATCGATCGATTAAACACGAGTGTGCATAATTTTCCTTTATGTTGCATGGCACGTTTCAATTTTTTTTTTTTTGGGCCACCATACATATCAATGATTAGTAAATGTGATTGTACATAGATGAGGTGTTTCAAATCTCCACAATTCAGGATTTAACATTTTCATACTAAACAATTTAAGAAGAACCTGTACGTCTTTTATGGGGAAAATGACCAAAATAGTACTTCACATTCTTAAAAAAAAAAAAAAAAAAAAAAATCCTTTTTTGGGTCTTTCATATATTAAAAAATTTAAAATAGTCTTACATGTAACAAGTACGCCAATTTAGTCCCATAACCTATTTTTGACTATAGATCTAAAGGAGGTGTTTGTTTATACGGGTATCGTAATGGGACAGAATGAATATCAAAATTAAACGTATTCGTACTTTGTTTATATGTTTGATAATCCTCAACATGAATTCCCTGCTATTGCTGTTGATGAATGATTCCTGGTTCCCCTTTCCGGTGTTCTGGCACGAGGTACAACTATTACACTTACACCACGCGTCTCACGGGCCGCTAGATTCCGCCAACGGAGGCGGCAAGTATAACCACTTTAATTATTTCAAACCAAACAAATCCTTTGTAAAAGAAGATGAAGACTGGTGGGAGAAGCAAAGAAAAGGATCCCCCGACAAAGCAAAATGGATAACAGTTGAATGGGAGTTTTTTTAGGACTATTTTACAGCATAATTATTGGAATTTAATCCATTTGTCACTTACATATGGAGTGACGTTTGCGGGTTTCGAAATCTAGATTACACATTCAATCGAAAGTTAAATGATTGTCTTGTCAAAAAAAAAAAACACAAAAGTTTTTGGTTCCTTTTTTTTTTTTCGAGTTGAATGTATTCTTTTTTTTTTTTCCTTTTCCGCACAAACAATCTTATAACGCTAGCTCTGTACTTAAATTGCACTGGCGAAGAGAGTATTCAAACCTCGACTTAAAGAAGGAAAAAGTTGGATTGAATGGTACGACGAGAGAAGTTTTAAATTTACTTGAGTGAAAAAAAAAATCGATTTGAAGATCTGGCAACTTGATTTACGTATTTGATGAAACTTACGATGAATAGAATGAAGCCTTGATATGCCATGTGTGTTGTCCCTTGGCAAGGGCACAGCAAAGATGGCCATCCTCACTTCTGACCTTCAATTTATGAATGATCATCTCAATG